GGGCAAGAAGAGTGTCTGCATGAGGCTGCAGGCACCAGGACCCAGAGGCTCCGAAGAAGCCCTCGCCAAGCCACCCCGAGAGCCAGCTCTCACCACTGAAGTTGCTGAAGTCCCCTTTGGGCTGCAGCCCGGTGACCAGGGTGTACACGTCAGGGTTGTGGAACTTGAGGCTCTCCAGGAAGGCAATGGCTCCATTCTTCCCTCGAGTCCTCAGCAAATCCAGCAAGTGCCCTGGGACGACAAACCGTCTCAGCCAACAGGGCTCTGGGAGGGTGTCCCCGGGGACACAGGGTGGGGAGGCGGGAGAACCCACGCAGATCTAGGAGTCAGGGGGTGGAAGCGGAGCTCCGGGATCCTCGGGGGGTGCCCTCGCTGCTCCTGTGGGTCCCTCTAATTCACACGATGGCAGCCAGTCTCCAGAAGGGCCGGGCCGATACGCACTGAGCGACCACGGCAAGCCGAGCACTGAGAGTTGGCCGTGGAAGAGGAAGCTGACCTCTGTCTGCTCTCCAGACCTCCCGGTGTGTCGGTGACACGTGCAGACCCTGTGTATGAGCCTCACGGGACAAAGGACACAACAGGCGAAGCCAGTGCCCCCAGCCTGACTCGCGGCTTGGATTCCTCTCTCCTGTGTCTGAGGTTCGTAAGGAACAGGCAGAAGAAACTACCACCTACTGCTTCCTCTGGCCCCAGCCTTGAGAGGAGTCTCATTCGATCCCCCAAACCTGACAGGGAGAGGTTATTCACTTCCCTGTTTGGGGTGAATAAGCACAGCGAGTCAGACCGTCAGAATCCGCTCCGAAGACATCTGGAGGGAGTCGAAATGTGCCCCCCGCCCCGCAAAGGTACATCCACCTGGAAAGTGTCGGAGGCACCTTACTTGGAAACAGGGTCTTTGCAGATGTAATTATGGTAAGGATCTCGAAATAAGGTCATCCTGGATTCTCCAGGGGGCCCTAAATCCAATGACAAGTGTCCTCATAAGAGACAGACAGGGGAAGATGCAGGGAAGCCCGCGTGATGGCAGAGGTGGACACTGGAGGGATGTGGCCACGAGCCAAGGAACGCCCCGTGACCACCGGGAAGAGACAAGGAAGGAGGTGTCCCTGAGCCTTCGAGGGAGGGAGGCCCTGCCCATACGCGGATTCCAAGCTGTGAGCAAACGCATTTCTGCAGGGGTGGGCTGCCCAGTTTGTGGTCCTTTGTTACGGCAGCTACGGGAAATCACCAGTGTCCCCATGTCTGGAATGCAGTCTTTAAAGTCCTGCACTCCCTGCCCGGACACTGGGCTTCCCAGCATGGCCCGTGTGGAGCTGGTGTGGCAGGAAGGGCCCAGAGTGGGCAGGAGGGGGGTCCTCATGGATTCTAATGACCGTGTTGGTGAACCTAGGAATGGCCTGCG